TATTCTATTCTATTCTATTCTATTCTACTTTCCTGTCTTTGTATAAGACTAAGATCCTTTTTGTGGGATACCTGAATATATACCTAGCTCAGAGGTTAGCAACCTGGAGTCGCATGTGGCTCTTTCGTCTGCTGTGATTCCCTTTTGTTGATTGGTTCCACAATTGATAGGGCTTTCAATTAGGATATGCAGAGAAAAAAGGATGCCACACTAGGAGAAGACTCTATGGTGGGAGAACCGGACTTCCGTTCAGCAGAGGGAAAAGGATGCCACACTAGGAGGAGACTCTATGGTGGGGGAACCAGACTTCCAGTCGGCTCCAGAATTGAATGGGAGGCTCCCGATTAGAACCTTTGTGGCTCTTTGAGTGTTTAAGGTTGCTGACCCCTGGTCTAGCTAACTGGTGCTGCTTTCATCCTAATCAATCAGGGTTCTGTTTCCAGCAGGTGGGAGCATGATGGCAGCCCTGGCACTGCAGCTGGTTGCGCTGGCACTGTCTATCTTGGGCTGGCTGGGCTCTATTTTGGCCTGTGCCCTGCCCATGTGGAAGGTGACGGCTTTCATCGGATCCAACATCATTGTGGCACAGGTCTTCTGGGAGGGGCTGTGGATGAACTGTGTTTACGAAAGCACTGGCCAGATGCAGTGTAAGGTCTATGACTCCCTACTTGACCTACCAGCAGACCTACAAACCAGCCGCGCCTTGGTGGTGGTCTCCATCGCCATGTCTTTCCTGGCTCTCCTGATTGCCATCTCTGGAGCAAGGTGCACCCGCTTTGTAGAAGACCCAAAGACCAAGGCTAAAGTTTTGATGATAGCTGGTGTGGTGTTCATCCTAGCTGGAGTGGCGCTCCTCTTTCCTGTCTCCTGGTCAGCAAGGAACATTGTCAGCAACTTCTATAACCCACTCGTTCCTGAGGCCCTGAAGAGAGAACTGGGTATCTCACTTTACATAGGTTGGGCAGCTAGTGCTTTCCTGATCCTTGGTGGAGGCACCTTCTGTTGCTTCCTTCCTCCAAAGGAGGACAATAAATCCTATCCAATGAGATACTGGACAGGAAGACACCCTTCCGCCAGCAGCTATGCCCGCAAAGACTATGTATGACCCTTCTTGGAAAAGCTACCCCTCCTCCCCCCTTACTCCAAGCCTTGAGAAAGAAGGATTGGCTGGCAAAAAGGACTCATCCGATGCAATGATGTAACAGAATATAAATCTTGCGATGCCAATCGCCTGTCAGGCCTGTCTACACGGAGCACACATTGACATGACATGTGACGTCAAGAGAAAGTTCACCCCGACTGTTTGTAACATTTTTATTTGACAAAGAAGTATTATTTTGTGGTACGTGACAATTTCCTCAAAGGAGTGGTGTGGTTTGATGATATGCCAAGAATTGTATCAGAAAGATGAATTAACTCAGGCTTTGGCAACATTTTTTGGGGATCCAGTAGATGTAAATTCTTTCTAAGACTGAGAGATATTCTGAAGGGGAGAGAAAAAAACAGAAATTAGTGCCTGATTTTGCAGCTTCCAGTATAGGTTCTATTGGGTGGGGTGGGCTGCTTGGGGTTCACAGGGGTTTAGGAAGACTTCAAGCTAAGAACTGCTTCTGTGCAGTTGGGAGAACCCCCAAATCCCATTCCTAGCAGGCCATACCCACTCCACCCCTGCCAGGAGTCCCCACGTGGCCCATTTTGGGTGCAAATATGTGCAGGGCACATCCGGAGGCTTGGGGAGGGCGAAAAACGGGCCTACCGGAAGTTTGGGAAGGCTTCTGGGGCCTGGGGAGGCCATTTCACCCTCCCAGAGGCTCGAGGAAAGTCTCCAGAGGACTTTTCAGCAACCTGTGGCCAGCCGCCGGCCTCTTTTGAGAGCCAGTATACAAAGAGGCAGTGCAAGCGAGCGGTGACCGGATGGGCAGGGTGAGCAACCATGACAGGGGTACCAGTTGGCCATCGCTACCGGTTCACCAAACTAGGCAAAATGTCTGCCACCGGTTCAGGCGAATACCACCTCTGAAGCCCATCCCCTGGGATGAGGATTCTGCTTGATGCCAAGCAATTCCTCTTTGGCTTGGCCTTTTTAAAGCAAGAGCTGTTCTGAGCCCTTCAGGTATGTTGCTCTCCATACAAATTAGGGCCTTTCCCCACTGCTGAAGCTTCCAATCTGAGTCAGCAGAAACCTACACCAGCATAACATTTGCTGGCTTAATGTGAATCCATCTTCTGCATCCAAAGCCAATTGATGCCAAGTGAAGGTTGTCTTTGACTTAGAACCACAATTGAGCCCAAAATTTCAGTTGTTAAATGAGACATTTGTTAAGTTTTACGACCTTTCTTGCTACAGTTGTTGAATGAATCACTGCAGCTGATGTTAGTAACCTGGTTGTTAAGTGAATCTGGCCTCCCCATCGATTTTGTTTGTCAGAAGATTGCAAAAGGTGATCATATGATCTTGGGATACAGCGATGCTCATAAATATGAACCAGTTGCCAAGCATCTGAATTTTGATCATATGGTCATGGAGATGCTGGAAAGGTCGTTAACTGTGAAAAACAGTCATAAGTCACTTTTTCCGGTGCTGTTGTAACTTTGAATGCTCACTAAATGAACTGTTGTAAGTCAAGGACTACCTGTAGTAAGGTCCCGATGGATCATAAGCACAGAATATTAACGAATGGGATTGGTGCTTTCCTTTGACTTTCCTCCCTTCCCCTCTCACCAAACATCTGGAATAAAGTCCACCAGCCATTCTCCTTAACGTGAGATGGGGAAGAGACTTGAGGACAGAGGGAGTTTTGATGGATGACAACATTGGGGGATTTAGTTCTCAGTCAAAAAACGTTCCTACTTTTGCACAAATGTTTTGCACACGTGAGGTCAAAATCAACCTAATAGCTGAAAGGAGGCTGTGTGCATTTTGAAGTTGGAAGGGGCACACAGACAGCTATTCTGCTTGGTCATACAGTGCCGCCTCAACTCTTTGTTCAGTTGTTGGTTGGTTGTTCAGTTGTTAGTTAGTTAGTTAGTCTTTGAAGAAGCACTCAGCCAGCTCCTAACCCCCTCTAACAGATGTGATGTTGGAGAGACATTTTTAGAACTGGCAACCCTCTCCCAATAGATAATATAGGATCTTCAAAATCGGCACCACAAAGGGTGCAAAATGGAGAACCTCATTTGAAATAACTGGAATGACTCACTGTCCAAATTGGGGTTAAAAAGCACCAAAGACGTGAAGGGAAGAGGTATGCCCACAGCAGTCTAAAATGGCTGATCCCATCTCTTAGGGGGGTCACAGAACTGTAACAAAATGGTTAGTGAAGCAAAGCAGATTGCACCTACAAGTAGTCCCCAGTTTACAACAATTGCTAAACGGTGCTAAAAAAAGAAATGTACAACCAGTTCTCCCAATTATGATTGTTGCAGCATCTCTGANGGGGGCGATATGCTGACTCTGTAAACCGCTTAGAGAGGGCTGAAAGCCCTATGAAGCGGTATATAAGTCTAACTGCTATTGCTATTGCTAAACTGACCCTGACTCTGATGCCTCCTCCGCATCTGATCTGGTTTGCTGAAGGGGATGGCGGCCGACAGGCCACGGCACGTGGGCATCAGTTCTGTAAAGAATGGCTCCCTAGTCAACTGTATTCCTTAGTGACTGCTTTTGAAGGGGGCAGGAAGGTAGATGTGAGTCCAGCATTTTATTCTGTCCCATTTGCTCTTACCCCACCGCCAAAGATGAATCCGCTCCTCCGTTTTCTCAGTAAGAGGGAGACTTTAGGGAGAGGTTGAGTAAGATTAGATGGATTGATAGAGTGGGCAAAAAAAGTAGACACTGCCAGGATGTCTGCAGGGGATGTTTAAAAATGTCAGGATGTCAAGTTGCCAAATTTGGGGGGGGGAGGGGGGAACCACCAGAGAGAAGAAGGCAAGGGAAAATCGGAGTGAGTAGGTGTAGATTCTATTGAACAGAGTGGAATAGAGCAGGGGTCTCCAACTTTGGCAACTTTAAGACTCGTGGACTTCAACTCCCAGAATTCCCCAGCCAGGCTGGGGAATTCTGGGAGTTGAAGTCCACGAGTCTTAAAGTTGCCGAGGTTGGAGACCCCTGGAATAGAGTCTATCGGAAGCCCTTATCGATCAGTGAAGTCTGGAAAGCATAGCTAAATGGAGGGAGAAGGAATCAGAAGGTATTTGGAATGGCTTGTCTGTGTTGGGAGTGTGTATGAGAGGATCTTTTTCTTTCTTTCAGGTTTTTCTTGAAAGAGAAGAATGAGTAACTGGAGTGAGTTAATCTTGCCTGCTGGGAGCATAAGGCACGAGAAAGGCCTGGGGAAATTTCTGAATGAGCAAGTAACGCTTGTGTGCTGGGCTGGGTTGTGAGGGGGAGAGGGGTTGGGGGTTGGTTCCATGTACCTTATTATTCTTGACTAATGTACCTTGTCTTTTTAGGTATACTAAGAGCATATGCACCAAAGACAAATTCCTTGTGTGTCCAATCACACTTGGCCAATAAAGAAGTCCTATCTATTCTATTCTATTCTATTCTATTCTATTCTATTCTATTCTATTCTTTTAATAAAGAATTCTATTCTATTCTATTCTTTCGATAAAGAATTCTATTCTATTCTATTCTTTTCTACTTTCCTGTCTTTGTATAAGACTAAGATCCTTTTTGTGGGATACCTGAATAGAATAGAATTCTTTATCGAAAGAATAGAATAGAATAGAATTCTTTATTAAAAGAATAGAATAGAATAGAATAGAATAGAATAGAATAGAATAGAATAGAATAGAATAGAATAGAA